GTTTGTACAGAGTTCAATTCTGGGAGTTGAAGTCCACATATCTGAAAGTTGCCAAGGTTGAGAAACACTGGTTTGGAGTAACACAGCTCACTCTGTCCCCAGGCTGGAACAGGTATTAGGCTGGGACTGGTGAGATCCAGTTTAGTTCAAGTCCAGCTTCAGCCTGGGAAGCTCACTGGGCAACTGGGCCAGCAGCTAGTTCTCAGCCCAGCTTGCTCCAGCGGGTCCTAGTGGGAAATACTAGAGGAGGGAATCCAATGCATGCCAGCTTGAGTTCCAGGAGGACAGGTGAGACATAAATCCCTTAAATGAACAGATTTCATTTCAGCAGTTTTGTACACCAGGAAGAATTTCCATCAGCAACGCACAGCTTTGTTAGCCAACTTTATCCTGGGGAAAGCCACTTATGCTGGCAACTGAATGAGAAAAACAGCTGGCGAGGCAGTGTCTAAATTTCCTTAGTAAATGTCTACCACAATGAATAAAGATAAGCGGAAGGAATTGTTCATGGCCCACCTACCTTCACAGATAAATCTGTTGAGTCTCACTTGCCAGGAGAAAGCAGATCCAAAACCGCTGAGATCAAATCGTCCTGAATTTTCTTTTCTCTCCGCCAACCCTTATTTAAAATCCCCCTTCCTTTTCCCCTATCCTAGTGGGCTACCCGAAGATATACTACAGGTCTAGTCCGAAAGCTGAATAGAAGGTGGGAGGTGGGGGGGGGGCGTGCCTTGCTCTGCCCATGTAACATCACTTCTTTGGGAGTTGCAGTGACTCCCAGTAGGCTTCTGGGTGCAACTCAAGGTGCTGGTTATCACCTATAAAGCCCTACAAAACAAAGACGGGTTATTTGTGGGGTGGCCTATTTCTGATTATTTCCACTGGTCCCACTAGGTTGCATGAGGTAGATAAGCTCCAGCCCGTTCTTGGAGGCATTTTCACCTGACTGGATCTAGGAGAGGTATCTTCTCTGTTGCCTTTTGGAATAAGTTCCCCCTCCATAGTTGGGGCAGCCCCGACCCTATTAACTTTTCATAAAGCCACAAAGAGAGTTATTTCTCCTCTGTGTTGGGCCAGGATGGTAATTGAGCCTGTTCCGTGATGCCTATGCCAGCCTCAGTTAAGTGTTATATTTTTGATTTTGTTGGTTTTTGGGTTTGGGATAGTATTTACTCTTTTTTTAAAAAAATTATCTCTTTTGTGCCCTGCCCAAAGTCACAAACTGTAAGAGGGCTGGCTTTATAAATGTTTTAAATAAATTGTGGCTTATTTAATAAACTATGGCTAATAAATGGTTTAGAGCAATGTGTAAACCTAGACACTGTTTGAAAGAAGTCAGGTACTCTGGTTTGTTGAATCAGGGTTTACTGGATTACTACAATTGGCTGGATTCACAAAGCACATTGAAATATAAATCCTCGCTTATAAACCACCCTGCCTGGATCCACACACCATGCCAAAGATTAACAAGCAGTATAGTTAAGTAGGTTGTGTGAACTCAGCCAATGAGTGGTTTGAAGACTGAAGGATGTCTGTCTAGCAGCTTCGAACAGACAAGCGGGTAACCAATGAGTGGAAGAACATCAATGTCATAAAGACATTGTCTTTAATGTCCTTTAATGCTAGTTTGCTGAAGAAACATGGCCAGAGTGGCAATGCTTCTTCTGCTCTTCTAAAAGGTCTGCTGGGCCCTGGTGTCCCTTTGCTTCCTGGTTGCCAAAAGTAAACATAAAGCTGCCTTATGCCAGGCTAGACTAATGGTTCAGATGGCCATGTGTCCCCTGTTCTAGTTGTAGGAATAACTCTCCAACGTGCTTCTGAAAGAATGCTTTCCCATGATGTGCTTTAACTGGAAATGCCAGGGACCAAACATAGGTTGCTTGCTACAGTATATGCACCTGTGCTGCACCCAAAGCTCTGGTCTTTCAGGTTGGATGTGTCTGCGATGCTGTAACTCCCATAACGAGTGCAAGTATCTCCAAATATTAATCAGAAGCGGTTCGTCTTCATCGCAGACTAATCGCCGCCGGGCATTGATTCAGTGCCAAGTGCCAGAGACCTATTCCAAGCGGTCTTTAAAGCCATTTTTCCCCTTGCCGATGTCACTGTTTTGTATCCAGGTGGTGCAGATGTTATTCCTCTGCTGAGAAGTACTCTGAGCCCATTCCCGTTGGGTCTGCGGTTGAACAAGCTGGAGGCCATGGTGTGGAGGAAACACAAGATCCATCTGCTTCAGCTGAGCCTGGAGCGAGGTTACAGGGGCAGCCTTCAGTTCTTACAAGCAGTGCCTGGGATCATCCTCAAATTCCAGTACAAGAGGGCTTCCCGGTGCCTTGTGAAGCTGGATCCAGGTCCGTGGTTCATCTTGGCTTTCTTCCATAGTGTTCCTTTAGCTGGGATCTTTGGGCTTTTTATCCAAGGCCTTTATGCCTCATTTGAGATTTGGTATCCTATCTTCAACAAGAATTAGAGCAACCCCAATGAAATGTTCAAGTCATTTCAATGGCTTTGAGTTAGCCTTTGCCAGTCTGTCCCTTTCCAGATGTGTTGGACAAACTCCCCAGTGTTAGGTGGGACTGTGGCACCACCATGGCAAAGGAAGGAACAGTGCTGATGTAAAAAAACTTCAGGTCACAAGTTAGGATGTAAAAGGTCCTAGGCTGGGGAACCCCCGGCAGTTCTCAAATCGGTCCAACCAGATCTGGTGAAGCAGCATGGAAAACTGGATTCCTACCTTGGATTCTTTGAATATCTAATTATTTATCCACTTTGCCTCTTTTGTAGCTGGTGGAAAAGCTTCACTCTGATTGTCTCACTACAGCAGACACATCAAGAAAGAAACTCTGGTATTTATTGCAAGATCCCCGAGAGTGCTTGTCATAAAGAGTGGGAACAGAATCGGTGCCCAGATTTAATCTCAAGGTGAAGTTACTCCTGAAAATGGAATCCAGCCTATAGAGGGCACAATATCCCTATTTTTGTAGGGTCTTAAAAAAAAATGCAATGATAATAACCTAACACTCTGATGCTTGGTGTTAATAGCTAAATGAGATTGTATTAAAAGGAGCTTCGGAAATTAGTTCCCTAAACCGGAGCAGGCTAAATGTCTCTTTGATTAGAATGAGGCAAAGGAGATACCATGAATTATTCAAGCATGTATAATATTAGCATTTCCTTTGTGCTGCTTAAGAAGGGGCACCTGGCATGTGGCTCACCTACTGGGCTCTTGAAAAAGAGTTGTGGAAATGGTGATTTGTTTTGCATTATGTAGCATCCCCTTTTTAATTTCTGTGTGTGTGTAAATCAGTCAATCAATGGGTACGTACAGGTGAGACAGGGAGATTGGTGGGTGCCAAGGGCAATGTCCATGAGCATATTGATGCCTCCAGCATTAGGAGCTGTGGAAAACATTTACATTCATTGCAGCTTTTCTTCCAGGGACTGATAGAAGGCAAATTAAGATGTATCGAGAGATTGCTGAGGGATCTTCAATAGATGGCCAAGTTGTCTAACTTCCTTTTGTCTAGGCTGCTAAAGCGAAAGTGTGTGTGTGTGTGTGTGTGTGTGTGAAAAAACACTGCAAACATAGTTGTAGTATTCAGAATAATTTCCTGATCTGAAAGATGGTTGATACAACTGTGGATATAAGACGCAGGCAGATAGAGAAATATACTGTCTACAAAGTTTGCTTTATCACTTGTGTTGTAGAAGTACCAACAGGAAAAGGGCCGCTTTGCTGGACTTCCTCTGCAAGGATGACAGCTCCTAGGATGGGCTCTTAGTAAACATAAATCCATTTCCTTTGATCACGCTGAAAAATTGCTGTGTGATGCAATCACATGTTGTGTTCTTTGCACTAGCAATCTCTATTGCGGTGTTTGTCAACCTTGGCGACTTTAAGATGTCTGGACTTCAACTCCCAGAATTCCCAGCTGGGGAATTCTGGGAGTTGAAGTCCAGACATCTTAAAGTTGCCAAGGTTGAGAAACACTGCTCTATTGCACATCTTCCAGTTGCTTTAAGACCCTAGTCAATCAGGAACACTGGAGCTTTCTGAACAGTTTACAAAATATCATAGTTTTTTTTTTTTTATCAAACTTCCAATTTAATTATCTAGGTTTCCCCCCCTCTCCTTTTCTTTTTAGCTGGATTCAAATGTGTATGAACCTGTTTTCATACACATTTGAATCCAATTTCAAAGTAAAGGAAGTCTTATTGATCCATAAAGAAAAACATCTAAAATATCTTAACTAGGATAAACCTTGCATTAGGACCATTCAAATGTTGCAAAATAATGAACAAACTTTTGAGTTCATGTGTTCCAGTGTTGTGCAAAGCAGGGATGAGGTCAAAAATAAGCCGAATCTTGTCATTAGATCTGTATTTTGATTTAGGATTACAGAGAATCCATTAAAGACAACCAAGCCCAGTCCTTTGCTCAGGGGAAAAATCCAGATTGAAGTATCCCTATTAAGGTGTAATCTAGGTTCTCCTTGAACACATCCAGCAAAACAGAGCTCCCCACCTCCCTTGGGGATGGGTTTACTGCTGGACTGCACTTCCTGTTAGGGTGTTTTCCTGACAATTAAACTGGAATTTGCCTTCTTGTAACTGAAGGCCATTTTTCCACATCCCACACTTTGAAGAGGCAGAGAACAGATTGTGAACTTCTTCAGACATCATCATAGCCCTTCTCTGTCCCAGTCATCTTTTCTCAAAGCTAAATGTACTCGGGTATCTCCGTCTGATGCCTCTTAGAGCTACCTTTGCAGCTATCCTGTTGTCTTTCCGTAACATTTCTTTTCTTTTCTTTGTTTGTGGG